CAGTGTGACACGGCGCTCCATCAAGTGGCAAGAGTCCTTCCTCCAATATTTCGACGTATTTCAAAATTTATGTTGCCAACGCACTCCACTAAGCTCGATCTCCCACCAACCCAAACAGCTCCCCAAACCATCACGCTGAAACCACCATGCTTCACAGTTGGCTGCAATCTGTTGAGCCAAAAGTCTTGGTGAGGCATTCTCCAGACCCATATCCTTCCACGGTCCGAAAATTGAGTGAATCTTGACTCGTCTGAGAACAATACGGTCTTCCAAAAGTCCAGAAGCTTGGTCATCATATCACTTACCCATTTCTTTCATCTGACTATGTTGACAGGTCTTAATAAGGGCTTCCGTTTAGCTGCTCTGCAACGATAACTCAATCTGTGGAGAATCCATTGAACAGATTTCAGGCTCATCCCACCAACTTTGGCCACTTCTGCAGTCGTTAATCTGGGATCCATTTTGATGCTCCTCTTGACAGCCCTTTTTGTTCTCTCCGATGGACCAGGACGACCCTGAACTGCATGATGATTCTGTTGACTGTCAAAAGTGGGATTCCCAAATTCTGTGAAACTTGCCGCTGACTTATTCCACCATCTGCTTGACCAACTATCCTTCCTCTAACAAAATCTGACAATTCGAGAGAACCTTGTGTTCTAGGCATGTTGTAGCACAAGATAATTAGTGTGCGGACTTTTTTCATTTATATAGTGCTCTGTGAACACAAATTAGTTAGCATAAATCAGTTAAATGACGAAAAATTAGGTGTCTATTTACTTGTGACCACTCAGTGTATAGTGGGTGTGTTTATTTTTGTAATGAAAATTACATTTTTTAACAGGTATAATTATTTTTAATATATATTTCCCTGTTGCAAATATTTGTTGCATTTAACACATTAATAAAAAGAATTATCAATTCACCTACAAGTTAGAACTCAGCTAATTAAGATATACAAAACATCCAACCAAACTGTGTAAAGGTAAATAACACAGACAAAATAGTATCAAATTGGTTATAGAAGTTATAATACATTATCCATAATGGAAAACCAAAAATAAGGAAATAAAATAACAATAATGAAATAATACCTTCATCAACTACACACCTTTGTTCAGAAATATGGGAAAAAGAAAACCAAATACTACAACTCATCCGAGCTTGCAGTAGAGTGACATTTAAACCAGACACACACAGATAAGACTTGATCAATATTGAAACTACAAAATAAGTGTTTGGTATTTAAGATACAGAAACTAGAAAGTTATTTGTAAAATGTGGCAGAATGTTACATCACTCTCACCACAAACTAATTAACTAAAAACCCTCTGACATTTAATTTTATAGTTAAAACAACTGAAAGAAAGAAACTGTAGAGTAGACCACTACATTAAATGCAAATTCGTAATTTTTGAAAAATAACATTTTTTTCATTATTTTATTACACATTAGATATTAATAAATAAAGGATGTTGTATTAATGAATGTATTGCAAGTCCATGGATTTAAGTCTAATAATATTTTATTTATTTCACAATACCTATAACACTCAGAAAAACACTTACAGCTAATTCTTTATAAACTGAAATGGCTCGCTGGACATCTCCTCTATCAACATGGCTTTCCTGAAAAAAAAAATGAAATATTTCACACAAATACAAAACTATTCAAAGGTTAAAAGTCTTGTTAAGATTCATGGAAAGTAAATATCCTTACTTATCCTGAAATTATAAATACTTCTCATAAACCTGCTTTTTTTTAAATCTTAACTGAGAAATGAATTAAAATCATAATGGAGAAAAGAATTTGAGACTTCAAAATACATCTTGAACAGTTTGGCAAAAATGAGAGAGTAAAAAATGTAAACTCCAGTGTTGCACACCATTCTGTTATCTGTTTACTATAAAACAGTATGGAAATTAAATAATTTTTTCGCTTAACCTGGCATGTTTTCTTGGCTTTATTATTGTATATAATGCAAGACAAAATTTTTGACTTGCACTAAATAATTACAAAATCATTATTTGGAATCAAACACAAAATGCAGTTTTGAACAATATTGATTCTCATCAGCTCAGTTGTGTCAACATCTTTAGTACAGTTTCAGCCACCTGGTAATATTCACGGTGTATTTAATACAAATGTTTTTTCATCTAATGGTTTTATATATTCGAATTTGAAAACTTAGCACACATAAGATAATACAACAAGAAGAGTATTAAACAACCAAGATAGTATTTCCATTTTCAATTGCTCAAGTGCAAATTGAAGTATTTTTTAGATGTTTAGACAACTTCATAAAAAACAAAACTGTATTGTTTATGTATCTTTGTCAAAGGATTACAGTATCATGGTTCTTTCAGAGCTACTGTATTTTAATATCATTCTAAAAATGCATAGCCAATTTACCACAAAATCAAGCCTTGTTTTGTCTACAATCTTAGGTTAAAACCTTGTAACAAAAAATGTTTAATTACTGAATTTATTGGAAGCTAAATTCACAATTAAAAAGGATTCTTAAAGGCAGCATATATTTAGATTTTAACTTTAAATACACATTATCTGAAGCTCCTCAACTACTCTTGTCAATGCTGTTATGCAATTATCACAGTAAAGAACTGTGACAATATAGGAATAAATTCATCCTCTAAACCAATTACCATATAATTCACTTTAAAGTGGTAGGAACATCAATTAAGGCATAATCAGGAAACTATAAGAACTTGAAATAGTAACACATTGAATTTGAACTAGCTTGGGAGTGGTTGTCTGAGCCAATTTCAACAAGAAATATTTCTAAAGACCTTTTGACTGCCATGTATGATGTATAAAAAATTAATATGATAAGATTAAAGAAGCTCACAGAAGAAAATATACAGAAAGTACTGTAAATTAATGTATTTACAAAAACTGCTCGAATCTACTGAAATATGTAAATAAGATGTCAAAAGAATGAGCAATCATAACCTGAAATTAAATATTTAGCCTCACCAATATCCTAATCAATCTCCCATGAAGATAAAATTATTGGTACCCCACAACAACTCTTCAAACACAGGATTTGTTTTCTCATGATTAAATATTTACTCAATACATTAGTCTCTCTTAGATACAACTGACCTATCTGCCATTATAAAGAAGTCATTATTCAAAGGATCAATAATCAGATAAAGAACAACAGAGTTCAAACTGTGCTAGTCACTATTGCCAAGGCTTGAGCATAATGGTTTATATACTGTAGTTATGATGGATAACCATTCAATAAAGATAACTTAAAATTGTTTTGTGCTTTATGTAAAATAATTAATTCAATGATCACATTTATTTCATAAAATATACATTTTAATTTCACAGATGTAAAGTATGACAAATTGACACCAAATTTATTTCCTAAACAATTGTACCTCTGTTTGTTTTGCACATTTAGCAGGGTTCACAAGTCCGGAGAAGCATTTTGTTGTTTGTTTTCAGCATGCAAAAGTGAGGTGAGATGTTTATGTTTTTGCTTTTTTTAAGGCAATGTTAGACAGAATCTATCTTTGTACAAAAATGTAAGTGATTTATTCTTTGGTACGTGTCATATATATACAGCAAGCCACAGATTAACTACTCACCAGAAGAATTACCGATGTCATACATCACCTGACATTGAGAAAACACTCATTCTGACTGCTGATTGGCTGGTGAAGGTTTTCCCAGCTTGTGTAATGGTCTCATTTTATTGGCTAATTGTGCACTACATGTCAACTGGTGAAATCAAGCACAAACTGTTGTTGAAATTATTGATTTTTCCTGATAATCGAGGTAGAGATATTCATATTTTGAAAAATATTACATCATAAAATATGAAAATTTCCCAGCCTTAATATTCTTTTCATTGTGTGGCATCTAATTACTCACCCATTGTGGACATCAACAAACTACAGCTGAATCATCACTGATTCAGATTATAGTACATACATGTACATAAAAAATAAAATAAATGAGCACACAACAAACACATGTTTATACATTTTTATTGAAAGGAAGAAAATTCACTACTCAGAGGTCGTTGTCTGACCTTCTGCCCAAAAATCATAGTTGTGTATCACACCTGTCAGGAAGTTGTTTATGGGAAGCCAAATCAATGTAAAATTGTTCTGTGCACAGAAAAAAAAAGTCATATGTAAAAGAAGGTCCTTACTGGGAGAGGTCATATCCACCAGGGACTACTGTACTCAAGATTACATACATGTACATCCAGAAAATGTAGAAGTTTAATTCATTTTTCTGACCATATGCATGTCAAAAATTAAGTAACTTTACTAAAAACTAATTTTATCTCTATAGAAAGTAATTTTTTAGTCTAACAATTGATAAAACTATGATTTAACTTTTGTTCTGACAAAAAAAGAATAATGAAATTATATTTTCTCATAATCCAATGTTATCATAATTTTAATACATTATATAATAAACTATATATTACCAAGCAATCTCCAACATAATAAGTACGTGTTTGCTAAACCACTCTCAGCCAGTTAAGTCTGGAGTATTGTTATGTTCCTGCAAATTTGTCAGAATACAGCTTATTTTATGAATTGAATGGTGTAAAACAATCATGAAAAAGAGAACTATAAATAAAGACACAGTAAATTTCACAGGGTTAGCGGGAATGATTATTCACTGAAAGTTGACTTCTGGCTATTAGTTGTTCTAATGCAATTTCAATGAGAACACGGTGTTTTCTTCAAAAACACTTATATATTCATCTTCCCAAGCTTCCTAAAATTGTCAGAAGAGTCAGTTTTAAAGCTGACCTGCAAGTGCAAGGTTGCAAAATGTTTGAAATATTATTAATAGTGCAGCATGTGTGGATGTTATCACAACAGTATACCTATAATCAAAAGATTAAACTGTAAAAGAAATCAAAATGAAGAACAACATCCATGTATTGAAACTAGGTGGTTTCAAGAACATTCCAAAAGCAGTACCTAATCATGTAAAGAGAAGTGTCAGGCAGAACAATGTCAGATATACAAGACTGTTTAGTGTAAGTGTTATTATTTAGTTCATTTAGTGATCTAATATTTAATAATTGTTTATTTTTCATAACAAGAGTGTTACAAATAATTATTTTAAAGACAATAGTTATAACAAGTTTCATTACATAACTTGATAACATTCGTACATTGTGTGTGTGTAAGTAAACTGTTGTAATTTTACATCACACTACTCGAACCTTCTGTATTTTTCTCACTGCCTTAAGTGAGCATTGTTAATTCATAGAGTCTTGTAGTTTGTACAAAGTTCTAAACATCAGTTGGACAATGGATGTATATATAGGCAATCAAGTTTAGTCAAAAGAAGTGAAATTAGACTGTGTGATCATTAGTTTAACCATAATGGGCAATATTAAAGTGATTTTCACAGTGGTATTGTATTAACAGAGATAAAAGAGAATAATCTGTCTTGTCAAATGGTGTTCTAAAGTAATTGAACCCACCCGTGTGGACTTTGACAAAAAGGAAACAATTATTTGAAGTTCTGGATACAACTATGGTAAACCACAGGGTAATGTAAGTGAACCTATCACAGATTGTGTGATAAGAAACAAAGTAGAGAAAATTCATCTTGTCAATTCAGTTCTAAAGTAACTGAACTAGCCTGTGTAGACTTTTGACAAGAAAAGGAATTATTTAAAGCTTTAAATACAACTTTGACAACCAATAGTGAAAAGAATTTTTGTACATATCTTGACTTCTTTTGAATATATTATTTTAAAAAAAGTGAATTGGGTGCTGTCTGTTTATTGTTGATGCTTATTACCAACAAGTCACAGACACACCTACTGTAAAAGAATCCCAGCCATATTGAAAACCTGACAGACAATGGCAGAGGGGCAATACATACTGTTGACAAGTTGCTTACTGTGTTCAGCTTGGCAAACTGTAGGAATTCTCTTAACATGAGCATTCCCTCCAATGTGAATCACATTGATACAGAAACCTGCATAGAACCATCAAACAATCAACTTGGCAATGTGCTTAGTCTAAATAACACCATCCCCTCAGGAAACATGTGTGCAACAGTGCTGCAGTGGAGTCCCTTCAGGCTTTTAGGAAACATTTTTGGTAGAAAGAATTTGATACATTATAAATGGGAAGGATACGATGAGAAACTTGCGTTATTAGTTTGATATAATCAAAAAAGAATGTCTTTCCAAAGCAGGTAATTCAAGAGTTGTTGTATGTTTCTTATCACTTTTGAAAGTTTTAAGTAATGAAGGAAGAGGCTGAAGGGTTTAGTTGAATTTTGATAATTTTGCCACTGGTCACAGTGACTTTGATAAGTTCAAAATGGTAAAGCACTGAAGGGGAAGCCTAGAAACATTCAAAGGTTCAATACAGAGCACTGAATTCACTATTTCCTTTACCTAAGAATCCACATGTATGATTCTTATCTCAATAACCTTACTTCTTCCAACCATGTGGAACATCTTTCACGAGCTTCCTATTTTCATCTTGTGACAAAGTTCACACACAGATTCACAACTCAACATATATTCCACAATCAGTGGAATATATGACTGTGTTTCTAGTCAATGATACTTTTGAACTTGTTAAGCAGATTACTGATTCAGTGATTACCTCAAAAAAGTAAAGGATGTATGGAATTACCTAAAATATGGATTTGACCAGAACCTCAAGAACTTAACGATACTGGTTGCTGACCACATGATACTTCCCATGGATCATTATCAAATAATGATGATAATGGTAGTGATGGTGTGTCCACTGCTTGAAATACATGTGTAAGCACATGTTTGATTCCTTCAATAAGGCTAAAAGGCTTCATCTACATTCCAATAGTTACTCATCTGCAGAATAATAATTGAATGATTGCTATAAAAAAGCATAGCTGTTCTGAGCCATTATCTTGAGGGTAGTGAATGAGCAAATTGCAAATGAAGGCATCTCAAATGCAATGACATAGACAGGTGCAAAGCAAAGGTGTCATCAAATGAGACTCTTGTTGCCATGGGTTTCAAGATGAAGTTGGAACCAACATATTATTGAGAAAAGACGGTGAAGCACAATGGAAAAAGAAGTATGGGTTGGAGTGAAGTCTAATAGATATTGAAGAGAGAGAAAAGATGACAATGACAATTCATAAGGCAACAGTGAATAGTGGGAGAAGTGATTAGCCCACAAACAGCAATGAGTTTAAGTATCAGGGGCAACAGTGACAACCCATGGTCAAATAAGGAGACAATACAGGTAGATTAAAAAATAGTTAAAGATATTCCTGTCAAAAAACAAAAGAGACTGGTATGGATACCAAAGTTATTGTCTCCTTTGCAATAAAAAAGTGCTGAAGATGCAGTTTTGAGTGGTATCTGCAAGACAGCAAAGTGATCAACACAGATAGGTTCCTGATGACTATGTGCCTAGTTCATAATTTTCCTATGGGTTGAGCTAGATGGCTAAAGAAAGGACAAATGTATAGAAAGAAGTATATAGTATCCTTCTGAACAAAAAGATGTTCGGTCTACGAGAAGTTGACAAAGCAGAAAAGAAGGATTCAGGGTGGATGCTTGAAAAGCTGCTTATAAACTATCCAAACAAGTCTGTTCTCCCCCATGAAGGCAAAATTCAGATTGAGATCATGAAACTAGTCAATCGGGCCAAGAAACAACAACCAAAACTGAGAGATAGAAGAAGGAGGCAAGGTAAGCTAATTTTTTACTAAACATTGTTGCCCAAAAGCTGCATATCAGGCCTCCAAAAGAAAATGTCTCAATGCATTTAATCCTATGGCCCCCAGTGCCATTTTTAAATTCCCTTCTGCATATGATACTGCATTACATTAAACATTTAACTGCAGTTTTCGTGTCATGTGATCCACACACTTTGAAAAATCTTGACTTTAACACTGTTTCTCTGTTAGACACACAAGTTGGCACGTAAAAGATTTTTTTTCACACTAAGAATGTATGTCTGACTTAATTGACACGAGATCTAAAGTCTGCAAGCTGGGTTTTCAGGAAAACAGATATAAGTTTTCCAACCCTTGACGGTTGCCATGCCCACCTTCTACACTTTGCTTTGAGGTCTAAATATATATGTACTTTGATACAAGTGTATATAGTCATTAGAAACAGCTCAGTTTACACTATACTCTACCAATGGTTAATTTGAAATTGGCACACAGTTTTCGTTACAGTGTACATGTAATTGCCATTCCTGTTGTTGTCTGCTTGATCGACTACAGTACGTATGGTGGTTTTTAACCTAAATGTGCTATAGTTAAAGAGACAGTTAAATTGTATTTAGGTCCTACTTTTAAATTTGGTTAATATCATGTTTGTTTTATAATTAGAATGGTTTTATGATTTTATCTTGTCACATGGATTTAGAAAGGTTATAAACCAGATGGCATGTATAAGCGCCATCTTATTTCGGAAACGCTTCTCTCCGGGGAATCTGCTGAAATAAATACCTGTGGGCATCAGTTAATGTATGGGTATAAAAGATAATAGAAGAAGAATTTGAAAGGAAAATTAAAAATAAACTCTATGTGAAAAGACAGACTTGAAATTACACATATAAAAATATCTGACTATTTTAGAGGATTTCTATGAAGAGTTGAAAGGCATATGGATATTTCCATTTGTTAATTTTAAACATTTCACAGATATAGTTATTGATGTAGTAGAGAATATGGAAAATAAAATATTAATATTTACCTTAAAAAATTTTGATATTCATTTATGAAATTCTAGAGATTATACAAATGAAATGTGAAAACTGTAAGATAAAAAATAGCATTTTTATACTTCACATAAAAAAATCTCCTTGCAGGTGAAATATTCAAAGTGTGAGTACACATAGCTACATAAAAATAACAAATTTTTCATTAGAAATAGTAGAAAAAATCGAAAATGTTATATTTTTCTAAAACTACATTCTTTTAGGAATCTTCATGACAAATTTTAAACAATTTCATCCACTAGTTCTATTTTTGGAATGATATACGAAGAGAGCGATGTTACATGCTACTAATAGTAGCATGTGGTTGCCAAAGGGTTAAAGCTATAAAGTAGAATTTCCTTCCAATAGTCAAATCAATAAGAGGATAAAAAGCCTCAAGCAAGCAAGAAAAAAACAATAACCGCAAAATATGTTCTCTAGCTCTGCTGCATGGTCAAAGTAATAGGAAATATATGGTACCAACAACAGGACTAGCTGATAAAACATAAAAACAAAATAGTTTAACATTAACAAATACTGTGTGCATAATTTAAGGACCTTTGAGTATGGAAACACACCAAAATCCAATGGCCTGATTGAAAACACAACTAATGATTATTGCCGATTAGGATACGCCAGCAAAAGAATATGAAATAAAATCAATAGCGACATGACAAGAAGGCATCAATGGAAGATACACAGTACAATAAAAAGAAAAACAGACACTAAATGAATGCCAGTCAGGAAGAAATGACTGAAAAGGGAGATCAGTATGATAGCTAGTGAGTAGCAGGTAAAAAAAGAGACAGAAGTAGCCAAAAAGAAGGGAAAAAAAACAAGAAAAATCATTGTCAGTAGTTACTAAGGTGACTGTTCTCATCTTAATAACCATCACCCAAATCTGATTGACTTTGGTACTGTAACCCTTTACTCATACAGTCATGTTCTACCTATCCCTGTAAATTACTTATTTCTGCAGTTGGCAGAAATCCTACCCACTTGGCAAATTACTATAATGTTCTCCATTTAAACCAGACATTGCTTGTTGAAATTTTGTGTATATTAATAAAAGAATCTTTTATTTCCATTTAAATAAATAAAAATATTACTTACATATAGATGTATATAACAGACACACAAACACTAGTTAAATAGTATATGAAATTTATAACTATTAAGTATTGCCACCGAAGTGTATCAGCTCTATATGGCAAAACATGAAGGACTAATAAAATACAATCCAAAAATATATTACCTCTGTGTGCCTCTGCAACTCCTGAAGTAAACCAGGATATTTTTCTAACCTTCTGAATGGTTGGCTAAGCCCAGAAGTTAAAAGTAGGATTCCTGGTGCCGGGGCACCATGTTCTTCCATAAACCTGCATAGTACATTTCTGGAAGGTAATAAATAGTTAGTAGCAAAATATTTATATAACTGTGAAATATATAATTTCATAAAAGTCTGAAAAACAAGAAATATTAACATTCACTAAAATGGCAACAAAAGATCTTTACCCAAGACAGATCTATGAGAAGACCTAAGGGTTCATTAGAATAAATATTAAAACAAAACATAAAAAATGAGAGTCCTTTTATACTACAAACTCACCCAGTTAACTAATTTAAAATATAAATTTGAAGTCTATATGAACATATTCTGACACTAATTGATAAGACAATGCATTTAAATTTCACCCTGTTCTAATCAGTTAATAGAGATCATTCCATCTACTGAAAAGTCATAGTGGCAAATGCATGATGTGACTGCATCTACATTATTTTGACTGGAATATCAGATATTATTTGTATCAACACAAAAAATGGAAATCTTATTTACCAAAATAAAGTACAGTGCTATCTCTACTATCCATAATTTAGCTTACTGCCAAACTTCAAGTATCTGCACATATTTGGCCTAGACATTTAGGACTTGTAGGTGATCACTAACTTAATCTTCCTCCTAACTCAACCAGCAAAACCTCGTCATCGAGATCATCATCAACACAAAGGTAATGTGTTACTGTAGTATCATGTATTATTGTTTTCAATATAATTGTTTATGCAACATTTGAATTATTTAATTTGAATTTATCATGGTTAGTAATTATATGGTACATAAAGTCCAGGGGGTGGGGTACTCAACTATACACACATGGCCAGGAATGGACATATGCAGACAGAAGAGATAGCACAGTATATTTAAAAACTCTGATAAATCTCAGTATTATAAAAGCAGACTAGACATCTTACTTATGTGTTTCAATCACAGCTACAGCTTTAGGATGATTTGCACAATAGTTTAAGTGGGCTATCTTCAGATTGGAAGCAGATTGCATGAACACACCCCCTATTCGCTGATCTTTGGCATTTTTTCTGTGAGAAAAATGTTTAGACAACAACAGTCAACAATCAGCCTAAAACTTTCAAAATTGGTTTTGCATATAGAAATAAAGCTTAAAAATTTACCCATTCTTGCATGAAAATCTCACAGCAAAATATACAACTATATATATATATATATATACACACACACACACAACAATAACAAAATAAAACAAAAAAAACTGATATTTTTCTAAGAACACTTTACAAATATCAAAGATGCAACTCCCTCTAATTTATAAGCATACTTGATATTGAGAATACTGTTTCAAGAAACATTACCAAAAACTGATTAAGAGGTATAAAAAAAAAGGTTAAGAAAGGGGGACAGTAAAAGTAAACACACATAAGAACAAAGAACTGAACACAGAACACTCATTAAGCATGATGAACAGAAGGTAACAGAGAAAATAAAGAGCTTGTATAAAGAATAATACAACAGAATGTGTCATAATTTCTAATACTAGTTTACACACAAATACATGTACACACAAAGAAGAACAAGGGAATATACAACCACAATTTTGATAAAGATGATAGATACTAAATACATAATAAATATAATACAAAAAAGAATAATGTGTGTGCATGCTAAAATCTCATTGATTTGTTACTGGTTAGGCCTAACATTGTGGTTGAACTCACTCAATCAATGAGGACTGAATACACATTGCAAAGTTCTGGATCCTTCAAATTCAAAATTAAAAGTTTAAAAATTGCATAAACAACCATCCCAGTTCTAATAAAATCTATTAATTAAATAAATTCACAAACACCAATACAATATAGGATTTATTTTAACTCTTTCAACATGGGCTTGGTCCCAGGAACTGACCATGTGACCATTTTTACTTGTATATAGTTTTAATATTATAACTTTTAATAGAGTATGTGTACTTTACAAAATTTGACAGAATTTTAGTAAACATTACGTCATTTGTACAAAAAAAATCAGTTCTTTTAGTGAAGCATTTTTGCTAATAATTTGTCCATGAATGAATCAAATATTTATTTTTACTACCCCAAGAACAAAGTGATTTTTATGTAAAGATTAAAAAAATCTCAATCTTCATTTTCATAATCACTAAAACTTTTTTTATAGTAAAACTTTATATTTCATCTGTTATTACCTCTACCCTAACAGTATATTTTATTCTTCAGCCAGTAAGACAAATCAAAGTATAATAAAAAGTTGTAAAATCAGAAATAAAATGAGCAGCTTTGCCCTGTTTTCTTGATTATTATCAACAAGATTTCAAAGTACTTCTCTTGAGAGTTTCAACTGCTAAACAATTCACATTTATTTTCTATGTGTATTTTACTGTCCATGACGGAAGTAGAAATCTGCTGAAGATGAAGCAATAAATTGCTGATTGTGTCAGTAGACTGTTTATATGACACCGTAATACAATATCTTCGAAAGCAACAAAGCATGCACGAAGGGATAGCTGACTTGACCCCTGCTCCGAGAACAGTATGTCTAATGTATTGGATTATATATTTTACAGTGTTTACTAGGAAATTTAACTTTAGTAATCACACTGCACTTAGAATCTGTGAAAACATTTATGCCAACAATAGGCTGTAGAATTTATCGGCTTATGATTGTATCCTAAATAAGTATTCTCCAAAGCAATAAGACTGCAATTTCAATCTGTCAAGATGTTTATTATATGGTTTGGTGCCGATACAATAAACATCAAAATTCTTGGAATATTGGTAATCCTTCTGTGATGTTATAAATTTAGCAGTATACTGTATAGGTGTACAAAGATCTTATTGGTGCACATGGTTGTGAAATCCTACTTACCTTTCAGCAAACATATTCATCAACCAATAAACATTCAGGTTTCAAATCTGGTTATTGTTTTGCAAGCATTCAAATTTAGTCTAGCAATCTGACTTTGGCTATTTCTCTACACTTTGTTGGAAGATGTAAACAAATTGGTACCAAACAAATCTATTCTACTTGAAGCATATTTCTTGCTACTGACTTTTTACCTAGAGGTAAATAATTATTATTTATATCTGGAATCTCTGTTCAATAGTTTTAGTATAAAGTTGTTAACCAAAATACACTGTAGCTGTTTCTGTATTTTAGCATAAAATGTACTGCTTCTAAAATCTATGATACACATCACAGAATATATATAGATGTAAAGAACTAATACACGTCATATAATACATATGATAATGCTATACAACAGAGAATACATGATGCAAAATATAATATAGATATGTAATGTTTTTTTTCTAGAAATGGAAGCTAAATAAAAACTTAGAGCGAAGTTCTAGGAATTGAAAAAGAAAAAGGTTCTCAATGAGAAAGAGATGCAATTTTTATTGAAGGCATCTTTCTCTTCCGACAAAAGTAGCAGTCTGTCAGGGAATCAGTAGTTGAGGAAGCTGATGCTTCAATTGCTATGCCCATAACAGAATCAGGCTATAAAACAAGATGGCTTCAGGTAGAACCAGCTCTTCTTGATTCTGTCTCATGGACAGGTAAAAAGTAGCTCGAAGGTCTTCATGAGATGAAGATGTACAGGAACCACCCAGACAAGCTACACACCACAGAAAAGAGGCAGGCACATGTCAGTTCTACAACCCCAAGCATAACCTGCAGCACATCTTGGCTTACACTTTGAACTTCCATATCCACAGTCCAGCATGCTATCAACTAGGTCACACCCAGCCAAAAACATTATGAGCCAAAGTCAAAATTATATGGCAAGGCCTAAAACATTACTATTTTCAATTTCTACTGTTCATAATATTTATTAATAACTTAGCCAAAAACAAAAAAAGGAATATTCCTATTGAGTTATAGATATACTTATAGATACAAGTATAATGCTCATAATATGCGTGCCATTAATCCGTAATGCTCTACCTAGGATTTGTTTGAAACTTCTCTGAATTTGTTCTTTCAAAGTTTCAAATCAGTATTTGCCATGATCTTGACATTTAACACATATGTATAAATCTTAAGTCAATTGGTTTCTGGATAGATTTTAACAAATAACTTTATATTTTTGCAACAGACTTCTCCTTTTATACTTGAAAAAAACACATCAAAAAAAAATTTAAAAAAAGATTGACAAGTCAATGTGATAATAATTGCACAAGTGCCTATAAGAATTTAAAATGAGACAGAATAATATTTACATAATGAGAGAGAACTAATGACAATAATCAGATAAGTTCTAATAACCAAATTTCTGTTAAGGCTTTTTTTATAACCTTGCTTCAGTCTCAATATGATATATTTATGTCTGTGTTAAAACAGAGATGGGAATAAATTTATCACATTGTTTGTTTAACTAATTTCAATTATAAGAAAAACAAACTTTTAAAATATAAGGAAAAAATACATAAGCCAGTATTTTTCATGATCTTTAAAAAAGTAAAAGAAATTTCTAAATATATTACTTAATTTGCTTTAGAATTTTAGACTACTAGCATGCATTTCATTCCTTGCAGCACAACACAAAGCTGCAAGCCAGTATACAAAAGATTAGACATAAAGGTGCCAACAGACAACACTATAAATAAATGATAAAATTCTTGTACAAACTATCAACTTGGTAAAATTACATTTATAGTTTCAACTCTTTACAATATCTGGCTTACTTTCTAAGACCTTCAAGTTCATCCAATAATGTTGCATGACAATCCACTAATTCATCTAGGTTTCCTAAGAGTGTGGCAAACTCCTTTTCATTTAATCTAAAAAAGTAAACAAAATAGTTAGTAGGTAAAAAAAATTATCAATTATTAAGATCCCTATAGCATCAATAAGTAACTGTCAAAACTTAAGTATATTTTCACCTAAAACCTCCCTCAATACACAATGATCAAAGGAAATCTCTCACATACAAATCCAGAACCTTTATTTCATTGAATGACTACAAGACATCCTGACATTTAGATCCAAAATCTCTAATATCAAAATAAGTGACCAAAAGAAACTGCTACATTTCAACTCAAGAGCCATCATCTCTAATGAGACTGAAGTAAAGTGTCTGACATTTACACTAAGAGTTCTGTGATTTAAAAAGCTGGCATTTACACTCAGAGCAGAGAGTAATGAAAGAAACTGATATTCAAACAAAGAGCTTAGTGATTGACTGAATAAAACTGTCTGACATTTATACTCAGAGCTGAGTGGGTGATTGAAGAAAACTGACATTTATACTCAGAGCTTCCATGATTGATTGAGGGAAACTACTTATCACACTGTTGTTTAGAAGAAGGAAAAAATTATGGGAGCAAAACTTTCAAATGTCTTCTTTCTTTCAATGACCAAAAAATAGTTTTATACAAAAGCTATTTCCTCCTTTCATTCTTACTGTGTTTGATATATTCTATGGAAAAACCTACACTGCTTAATTATTTATTGTTTATTATTAATGGCTATTTTTGTTGCTCTGTATGCCATGAACATGAGAAGATACTTTCTCTTAGCTGTAAAATATCCATATTTAGTTACATGTATAGATGAGTTCTGTGTTCTCTTTGGCAGTTAAATTTACTAAGTTTATGAGTGTTAGTAGTATATGGAGATAAGTTGTTAACTGACATACAAATACTCATTTATACATTTCTAACTGTAAAGTTTTCTTAAAACAGGACAAGGAAAATACAGTTGAAGAACAGTTTTCAGTTTTAGTTTTCAACTGCTTCACATTGTAAAAATAATATCTTACTTTAGCTTGTACATCATTGGAATGCTTTGTTTTTTTAAGTAAGACAATACTTGTGTTGTTTACCAAATGCTGGAACTTTCCAATTTCTACAAAATTTCAGCTAATACATGTATTATTTGAATTTTTATCAAGTTATTTAATTCCACTTAAACAGCTTCACCGCAAAAATTAAATATTTGGTGGCACATATATGTGTCTCTTACTGTCTAAAAATCCATAACAGTCCTTCTACATTCATAAATGACTTGCAAATCCTAAAAACTATGAAATTTCCCACAGAGTTGGTGACAATTATCTCACAAAAACTAATGTGAAGTAATTACTTAACCCAATTACTATTGG